TCTTCTATAAAATGGAATACTACTCAGCCATAAAGAATGAGAAATTAGATTCATTCATAGTTAAATGGGTACATTTTGAGGATATACTTCTAAGTGAAATAAATAAGGGACACATATGCAAATACCGAATAGTATCTCTGGTGTGAAAAACTAAAATAGTACTCAAGATCATAATGGGACAATTAGCAAATAGGAAGAAAAGGACAAAGGTGTAGGGACAGTGAGAAGGATAGGGAAGAGGGAATAAGGGAAAAGGAAAAAAATATGAGAAAATGTAAAAATGGAATTAAAGTGTTTGAAGGGGGGAGGGGAGGGGAGGGGGAAGGGAGGGTGGGGACAGGGGGAAAAAATGAGAACCAAGGCCTGGCATGTAAAGGTACAAGATCCCAGTAATGAATGTAACTGTACTGTCTACCTAGAATGTACCAATAAATTTAATTTAAAAAAAAGAAGTGTCTATTCGTTACCTATTTTTTGATTGGGGGTGCCTACTTTTTTGAGTTTTCTATATATTCTAAATGTTAGTCCTCTGAGGAATGGCTGGCAATTTTTTTTTCCCATTCCATAGGTCATCTTTTCACTCTCTTGGTTATTTCCTTTGCAGTGTAGAAATTTTTAACTTGATACGCTCCCATTTGTTGAGTCTTGGTACTGTTTCTTGTGCTGTTGAATTCTGTTCAGAAATTCCTTGCCTACACTTACGTTTTCAAGAATTTTACCTATTTTATCGTCCAGCAGATTAAGTGATTTTGTTTTAATATTTATATCTTTGATCCATTTTTATCTTAAGTTTAGTGCATTGTGAGATAGATGAGTACAGATTCCATCTTAGGCAATTTTTTCAGCACCATTCATTAATGATGCTATCTTTCCTCCAGCGTATAGTTTTTGGCCCCTTTGTCAAAGATCAAATAGCTGAATGTTGTTTTTGTACCTTCTGTTCTGTTGCATTTGTCCACATACCTGTTTTTATGCCAATACCGTGCTATTTTTTGTTTTTTTTCTTATCACTGTGGCTTTGTAATATAACTTGAAATCTGGGATTGTGATGTCTCCTTACGTTGCTCTTGTTACCCAGGATTGCTTTTGCTATTCTGGGTATCTTCTGGATCCATATGAATTTTACAATTGTTTTCTGTAGTTCTGTGAGGAATGCTGTTGGTATTTTGATTGGGATTGCATTAAATCTGTATATCAGTTTTGGAAGTATAGCCATGTTGACAATATTGGTTCTCCCTGTCCAAGAATAGGGGATATCTTTCTATTTCCTGATGTCCTCTTTGATCTCCCTTTTCAGAGTATTGCAGTTTTTGTTGTAGTAGTAGTAGTTCACTTCCTTGGTTAGGTTAATCATTAAATATTTAATTTTTCTTTATGCTATTGTGAATATTTTTTCCTACTTTCATTTTGGTGAGTTCATTAGTGTATAGGAGTGCTATTGATTTTTGTATGTTGATTTTGTATCCTGCTATTTTGCTGAATTTGTTTATTAATTCTAGGAGGTTTGGGGGGGTATGTTTCTTTTTTGGTCTTCTAATTAGAGGTTCATGTCATCTGCAAACAATGATAGTTTGACTTCTTCCTTTCCTACAGATATCCCTTTTATTTCCTTCTTTTGCCTGATCACTCTGGCTAATGCTTTGAGTACTATCTTGAAAAAGAGTAGTGGTAGTAGATTTCCTTATCTTGTTCAGATATCCTTTAATACATTCCCACTCAATTCTATTAGTTCAGCCTAGTCTCTCTAGCTTGTAACCAAGAATTCTGCTATGTGACCCTTTTCTGGATGGACTATCAGACATAGGTATGCAGTGTTATCTTCAAATGTACCCCATCAGAAATATTCCAGAATTAGCCCTTTCCTCCACTGGTCACATGGTCCCCAGGATTGGCTTTCTTTTCCTTGTTACTGATATAAAATATTTCTCTTTCTGGCTCCCAGTTATTTATTTATTTATATTTTGAGACAGGCTCTCACCATGTAGTTGAGGCTGACCTGGAACTCACTATGTAGTCCAGGCTGATCCTCCTGCCTCAGCCACCTGAGTGCTGGGATTACAGGCATTCTCTCAGTTATTGATTATTAGAATAAAACAAAATGTTCATCAGAATTCTACTCCCACAGCTGTCACTGATGTGTTCTGCCCACAATCCCCAGCCCAGGAATCCACTTCTCTTAGGCAAACTTATTCTAGAATGTCTCTGTACCAGAAAAGCCTGACATTATGCAGTGTTTACAGGGACGTGGAGTGAAGGCAACTATTATGCATTTGCTGGTGGGAATATAAAAAGGTGTAATGACTTCGGAAATCTGTGCGACAGTTTTTGATAAAGTTAAACATTTCTACTCTACGACCTAATAATCTCACCTCTAGGCATATTACCCAAAAAACTGGAAACAACCCACATGTCTATCAGCAGAAAATTGATAAAGAAATGGTGATATGCTCATACAATGAAATCTTGTGTGATAATAGAAAAGACAAGTCACTGATCATATCCAACAACTTGTATGAATAGCAAAAGAATGGTATTGGCCAGAGAAGCCAGGACTTTATTTAGATGGAGCTGAAGAATGGACAAACTAGGGGCCGGGGATTTAGCTCAGCGGTTCGGTGGCCTGCTTTGCAAGCGCAGGGACCGGAGTTCAGTCCCCGGTACCAGAAAAAAAACAAACAAACAAACAAAAAAAGGACAAACTATTATATGGTAATAGGAGTCGGAAAAGTGGGGCTGGATGTGGTAGTGCATGTCTGTAATTTCATTTGGGAGGCAGAAAGCTCGAGGCCAGCCTGGGCAACATAGGGAGACCCTTTGGCTCAGTGGCAGAGCACTTGCCTAGCAAGTGAGGCTCTGGGGTTAATCCCCCATCACTGAAGAAATAAAAAAAGGTCAGAAAAGTGGTTACCTTTGGAGAAACATAGATTAGATAGACAATGTAGACAGGAAGCCTTCTGAGGTACTGGAAATATATTTGATCTAGGTGGTCATAGGCGTTTCAGGAGTTTTTATGTAAAAACTCAGTAAGCTGTATAGCTAGGACCATTTAATAGAATTTTTAGAACATATTCAGTACATACATATCGGCCATACATAATGATCATATCCATCATAGAGAATTGGAACTGTACGTAGTGTCTTCATTCTTCTTTGTTTCCTATTTCCCTCCCCTCCCTTTACCCTTCTTTCCCTCTCCATTTACGAAAGTTTTGTTTCCATTTTTTCTCTTTCATTCTCTTTTTTAAAATCCCTTTTCCTTTCCTTCTCCTTCTCCTGCACACCCCTTCCTTGTTTGGTATGTAGGAAGAACATACTCAAATGAGAAAGAGAACATAGGACTTCTGAACTTTGTTGCATATATGTTATAGTTCAATGAAAGATAAAATAAGGGGCTGGGATGTAGCTAAATGGTAGAATGGGCACTTGGCTTATATAGAGCCCTTGGTTTGATCACCAAAACTGAAAAAAAAAAAAGATAAAATAATTTCTATAACTTAAATCTTTCATTAATTCTGCACCCAAATTTGGATTTTTGCTACAGTCTTATCAGGAGCTTTTCAGAATCTCTTTTTTTGGCACCAGAGATTGAACTCAGGTCCTTGCGCTTGCAAGGCAGGCAGCAGAACCGCTGAGCTTCTGGCCCCAGAATCTTTTGTCTGTTCCCTTTCCATTCTTTGTTGACAGCAAGACATTAAGAAACCAATGTAGTTTTCCTTCCAGGAGTACGTTTATGTTCAAAGGAAGATCATTAGGAAAAAGTAATGATTAACACAGAGAAATGGCTAGCTTAATGGGTGGGCTTTCAAGAACCAGGAGAAGAGGTATTTTGGGTCAAGGGAGGGTCAAGAGAAGCTTCCAGAGTATTTCACACTGAATGGGTAGAATTAAGTAGTAAGAGCTTTAGACATTTTTGCTTAATTACTGGTGTGGCCAGTAGTCTTTGGCAATTCTGCTTCCGGGATGAAAAAAAGTCAGTATTTATTTCCAAGAGAGAAGAGGAAAGGTTTGTCTTCTGGGGCCCGTCCTTTCCCCCAAAACTGATGGTGGAGGAGGTTCCTGGGGCAAGACCACAGCTTTCCTTCCACGTTGCAAAACAGAGAAGGAAGCAAGAAAAGAAATGGCAGGTACAGGGATTTTGAAATGTGGATGAAGGTAGAAAAGCCCAGGAGAAAAGAAGTATGAGAAGGCGGGGGAGGTAGCTCAGAGGTAGAAGGCTTGCCTAGCGCGTGTGAGGCCCCAGGATCAATTCCTGTCACAGGAAGGGAGGGAGGAAGGAGGGAGCTTATGGGAGGACACAGGAGGGAAAAGAGCAAACAGAAGACGGTAGTGGGGAGGACCAGAAGGAGTAGCCGGCAAAGTAAAATGAGAACACTTGGTGGAGGCGGAAGGGACCTAGAAGCTGGAGCCATTGTGCACTTGGCACCTGCAGCCTGCAAGCCTCCTTGCCTTTTGTCTGCATTTGCTGTTGCTGTAATGCAACGCCCAAGACGAGGTAAATTACACAGAACAGAAGTCTATTCAGCTAGTGGTTATAGAGGCTAGGAAGTCCAAGAACGCAGTGCCCACGGCAGAAGGCAGAAGTGCTAGAGCGGAGAGCAAGAATGATCAAGATGACTAACCCACTTCCATGACGATGGCATTAACCTCTTCCTGAGGATGAAGCCCTCGTGATCTAGTTGCCTCTTGTTAAGCCCCATCTCTCAGCGTTGTCGCTTTTACCACAAATGAACGCATTTACCACAGCACCTGTCGGGGAGCCATGGGGCAGGAGAAGCGGCCTGGCTCCTTTCAGTCTCCACTCTCTCCACTTTCTCCTCTGTGCCTGCAGCAGCAGAGCAGTTTTCTTACAGCCTCGTTTAATCACATTACCCCCCAGCTTAAAATTGTTTAATAGCTAGAAACCCAGAATAAAAGTGAAGAGCAAAATAAAAGATAGAGAGTGGGAAGTAGGGAGACAGATCTTTCTCAAAAGGGAAGGAGATTCACAGAAGGAGGGAGGTGCTCTCTCCAACAGCCATATACTAAAATTGGAATGGTAACAGAAGAGTGTTAGCATGGCCCCCACGCAAGGACGACACGCGCATTTGTGAAGCGTTCCATGTTTTTTTATAGCTAAATGGATGCACATTGAGGACATACTCTGAAGGGAGAGACATAGGACACACGTGTGTAAATACCAAATAGTTTCTCTGGTGTGAACAACTAAAACTGCAAATAAGGATCAGATTGTATAACTGATAATGTGAAATAGGAAGAAAAGGTCTAAAGGACTAGGGGAGGTGGGAAGGATTGGGGAAAGGGAAGAAGGGGGAAGAAAAAATGAGAAAAGGAAAAAATGGAAACAAAGTCCTTGTAAATAGGGACGGGTGGAGGAGGTGAAGGGAGGGCAGGGGTAAGGGGAAAAAATGAGAACCAAGACCTGTCATGTAGAGGTACAAGATCCCAACAATGAATGTAACTGTACTGTATACCTAAAATGTACCAATAAATTTAATGAAAAAAAAAAAGAGAAGGAGGGAGGGGAGGAACAGGGGCTGAAAAAAAGGAATTGGGTTGTGTTACATGCATGTACCAGCTGCACACGAGGAACGTGAGCATTATGTACTGCAAACATTTACTCCCCCCCCAGAAAAAATGGGATAAGAGATTGGTGGGGTGGAGGGAAAGAGGATTTAAAAGGGGATTAAGATGTGTTATATACATGTACCAGCCTCCCAAGGAATGTAAACATTATGTACTACACACGTACTAATAAACCAAAATAAAAGTCCTCAATGTGACCTATAAAAGCTTCTCATGACTAGTCCGTGTTTATTCTTCCTGCCTTATCTATTTTGCAAATAACGAATGGCTGTGTTTAGTAAATTTTAGCGTTCATCTTTTTCATTTGAAGAACTCTGGGAGGCTATATATTGTATTTATACAACTGAACTCCAGGAGGTGCTGTGAGTGAATACCTCTCAATGCAACAGGTGGCCCTAGTGGGAGTGCGTCTTTCAACCAGGACTACATGTACCTTCCTTCACCTGCTGAGTGGGAACAGGGAGTTGGGATGATCTAAGTGAGATTTGAGTAAAGAAATTACTGTGATTTTCATTAAGGGCTCTGGGTTCTGACAGAGAAAGTCCTCCCTTCTAGTCCCAAAATCTTGGCCACCCTTCAGTACTATCTCAAGTGTCCCAGCTTTCCTATATCCCGTCCGGGGAATAGGTTTTTGTTTGTTTCTTGCTTTGACAGCATTCTCAATTATGGAGACCTTGTAGGACCTGGATGGTCACATGCAGGGGTTCTGGTAGTCCCGTCTTCAGAAACCTGCACAAACGTAGGCTTCGTGCTTGCAACAGTGAGCGAGTAACATCGAGGATCAAGACTCCTGCTGCAGCATGGAAGCAGATGGTTCACGCAGGGGGTAGTAGCTGAAAATAAGTGAGGAGAGGGGTAGCTTCAGGTGGCGTGTTCCTCTAGATCAGGAAGAAATTCACCTGGGGATATGGAATTATGATTTAGGTGCCTGTGGGAAAAGGTGGGCGAGAGTAAGGCAGGTTGTCAGGGTTCCAGCCTGGAACAGGAAGGTGAATTAGATCCCAGTCATGCAGGCCAACTTTGCCCATGTGGAGGGCCTCTGGGGAGGCGGAGATTCTCTCGGTCTCCAGGTATGAAAGACTCTGCAGAGGCTGCGTCTGTGAACTATTAACAAACTATTGATTCAGCCCTCCCAGCTGCTAAATCGGTCATGCTTATATCACCTGCTCAGAGCGAACAGCTAGGTGTGACTACGCTTTGAGGCTGATGGGGAGTGTGAGCTGCAGTTGCTCCTAGGTGGAGGAGCAGGGGCTGTTTGCTCTGGAAATCCTGCCATGCCCTCCTCCAGCCCTCACTGTATCCATCAGCACTCTCCTATGTCTGTATTTTCCCACTGTAAATAACCTCTGCAGCATGTCATCCAAGGCAAGGAGCCCACAGCAGATGAAAATTAAGTCAGATGCGATTGCGCTTAGCTCCTTGGCACTGCAGGCCTTGTTGTATGCTAGGCCGCCTAGCCCAGCTCTTTATTGTAATCCATGGTGGAAGGGATTGAACCCAAGGCCTTAGGCATTCTAGGCAAGTGCCCTACGACTAGCTACATCCCAGCCCTTGTATGTCTTGTATCACTGATCAGGGCTCCTCTCCCTCTACATGTAAAAGATAGAAGTAAGCCTTCTCCATTTATATTGGGAAGTAGCCAGTGGCCTATCAAGAAATGGAGGACTATACCTTGTACCCTAAAACTGCCCTCCTTTGCTTCCTTAGGGTTCAGCCCTTCAGCAAAAACCCTCTATTCTTTCTTCCTTTCTGCCCAACCTCAGTGGAAAAAACTTGATCAGGTTGCCATGGAGACCAGCCACCGACTTCAGAGAGCCTGTTTATTAAAGATGAAAGTAATGTATGCCTGGGTGATCTGAGCAGCTGTCAGAGAGACTTGCTGTTAGTAGAGGAAGTCACTAATTTCAAGGCAGGATCACTCATTTGAAAGAGGGAGAGAGGGAGAGAGATAGACACTCCCATCTTCAAGGCAGAGCTGAGCCGTGTGGCTAAGGTCTGCACTAGGCAGGGGTTTCTTGCTCAGGTTTTTTGTTTGTGTCTAGTATGGTAACTGTACTTCTTTCTCCCTTTATTTCCTACTGAAAATACATAGCCTTGCAGGAGTATGATAGATTAATTAGGCTTTGAGAGCAGACCCAGGAAGCTCAAAGCCTCTCATGATGTCGTTTCCTTTGGAAAATGTATTCTGGATTCTGAGCCACCTACTTACAAATGAGGTTGTCTGTTTATTCATTCAGCAGTCCCTACCAGGTGTGTGAGAGGAGAAGCAGTAGTGTTGAGCAAGCCAGAGAAAGGGCTTGATATATTTGTGTGCACTTGGACAGGAGGGAGAGAAGCAGTCACTCTACTAGGGAGGTGATCAGCTAGCTCAAGGATTGTGTGATCTTCAGAAAATTGGTCTACTCAATTTTTTCTTTTGTTCAATAGAAAATCTAAGAGAAATTTTATCTATTTTTTAGTGGTACCAGGGATCGAACTCAGGACCTCGTGCTTGCGAGGCAGGTACAGTGCCACTGAGCTAACTCCCTGGCCCTGAAGATGGGAGTCTAGTTTTTCTTTTTCCCTGCTTCCCTCCCTCCCTCCCTCCCTTCCTCCTTTCCCTCTCCCTCTATCCATCCCCACCCTGCTCTGCCTGCGTGCTCTCTCTCTCTCTCTCTCTCTCTCTCTCTCTTTCTATACTGGGGATTGAACTCAGGACCTTGAGCTTCTAAGGCAGGCAGCAGAACCACTGAGCTAAATCCCCAGCCCTAGAAATTTTAAATTCTGAGTTGTTATTTTGATTCAATAAATATTTCCTACGATCAGCTAGTCAAACCACACTAATCACCAGTGAGTTGTAAAGGAGTGTACCGTTCCCACATACCAGCGCTTCAACAGAAACAAACCAACCAGGGGGCTGAGTGGTACAGGGAAGGGGCTAGTAGCCTGTGGCCCTCAGGTAGAGAAACCAAGTTCCGGCCCCAGCCAAGTCACATCATAGTCCAGCCAAATCTGTTTCTTCGTTCAAAAATGAAATAAGGGGTGAGTTGATCTTTACCAATTCAAAATATTATTTTGTCTGGGTATAGATTGCCATTGCAGGTTTTCATAAACAGAAAGAGCTCCTAACCTTAAACCGCTGAGCAAGAATTAACTCCGGGTTTAGTTCAAAGTTAAGCAGGTTCAACCTGTGCCTCTGGTTCAAATGTCTTTCTCAGACCAGACCAGAGGCTTGTTCCCAATTAATGTCTCTGCATCAGTGTCTGGGGAGATCCTCTCCTGCCTTTTTTGAGCTGCCTCTTATTTTGGAAGACAGGTTGAGAATGCAGCTAATGAACAGGAAGTGGGGATCTTCAGTGCCTTCAGGATATCCTGCATCCAGAGCCCAGGTCAGCCCAAGGCCCCAGCAAGGAAGATTTGAGGCAGCCAACCCCCTGGGGTGTTGATTGCTCACCCTCTCCATGCCTAGGGCAAGGAGAACGGCTGGCTCCCTTCAGCTTAGTGCTTCTTATTATGAGTTTATCCTGGAACATTTTCCCCATGAGGTCTTAGGCTTACATGTTCACTGAAAAATCTGAATTCCATCGGGGTAATGCCATGGTAGGTCACAAGAACTTTAAAAATATATATTTAAAAAATAATTATATGCTAATTGTACAAAATAATGAGGGGAGCTGGGCGTTGGTGGTGCACGCCTGTACTCCTAGCACTTGGGAGGCTGAGGCAGGAGGATCACTGTGAGTTCAAGACCAGCCTGGGCTACATAGTTCCAGGTCAGTCTCAACTACATAGGGAGACCCTGTCTCAAAATTTAAAAAAAAAAAAAAAAAAAAAAGGAAAGGAACTAATATTCATTCATTTAGCAATTACTTTAATACTTTAATCCCTTACTGTGGGCCAGTTATTTTTCTAAGTATAAACCTGCCTTCAAAAAGAATACATTTTTCTTAAAACCACCTTTGTTGAGGTATGACTTCCACACAGTAAAGTTCACTGTTTTAAGTGATGTGTTTTGGCAAAAGCATAGGTTAGAACAACCATCACCACAATCAAGACACAGAACATTTCCGACACCCCGAGACATTTGCTTGGGTCACTTTGCAGTTAGTTACCTACCCCAGCCCCAGCCGCTGATAAGAACAGAGCTGGTTTCTGTCACTGCACTTATACCTTTTCTAAAACTTTGGGTGAGGCACATACATTTTTACATGGCTGTATAAATGCAGGCAGATAAATAAGTATTTGTATTCTCAAGAGAAGTAAGAGCTTTGAGAAGGGATGCCTGGGCTGGACTGTTGGAGGACGGAAGTTAAGAAAGGGCTTCTTAGCTAAGATCTGGAGGCCCAGCCCCACGGAGCCAGGTGAGGGAGGGCAGCGATGGTGAGAGCTGCCCCAGGCTGTGGGAGGAGCGCGCACAAAGGCCAGTGAGTGGAGAGACTGCCAGGCGGGTTCAACTGGGACTGCAAAACTTTTTATACCTCAAGGATGGAGCAGGAGGGTGCAGGATTGGCCGGCCAGGAATCCGAAGAAACTGGTTCGCACAA